TCTATTTTCATTACAATGTTTTCTAAATACCATGAATATACTGCAGACTGTATTTTAAATCATTTAATTGAACAGAAATTACAACAAGACATTTAAACAAACAATTATACTACCAAGTAATTCTTCTTAAGGCCTTACTCTAAAAAACAGTCATATTTACATAATTAAATGAATAATAAAACGTCAAACCAATCAAAATAGTTGATTGATTAAATGACAAAATTGAATTCTGGTTTCATTACACCCATCAAATCAGTAAATTTATTGAAGTAATATGAAGATACCATACTATTTTGTAATCTCATAGGTTGTTGATAATTTAACTCATTCATTCGTTCAGTTTAATTATCACGAATTCCATTGCAATAGTATATTGATAAACTTTGAAATTTCAATAGATTTAAAGAGGTTAAAGAAGATACCTGCTGACACTAACATAGTCTTCCATAAAGATTGAATACAAATAATTTTGTAATGAGTAATAAAGATTAGATAGATACATGAAACGTCCGAACAATGTAGAGAACTGGGAAGACCAGTCAAATACCCACGGAAATGATGAGAAACAACTTAGCATTACTCGGAATCAGTGAAACCCATTGGGCCCAAGCTGGACAGAAAAGGTAAGATTCAGAAGAGATGTTGCTGTACTCTGGTCACGAAGAGAAAAATGCTCTACACACCCAGGCGTTCGCTCTAATGATGTCCAAAAAGCACTTATAGGGTGGGAATTCCATGCATCCAGAATCACCAAAACATCCTTCAAAACAAAGAAGGAGTAAATCACGATGAATATTATCCCATATTATGCATCCATCAATGATAGCAACGACTACAATAAAGATCAGTTCTACGAAAGGCTGCAATCAATTATAGGGAAGTTACCAAGAAAGAATTTCACCATCCTGATAGGAGGCCTAAACGCCAAAGTTGGAATGGACAACACAGGATATGAAGATATCATGAAACAACATGGACTGACTGAGAGAAAGGAACAGAAATTGTGACAGATTTGCTAATGTATGTGCCTTCAAAAATATGGTTATAGGTGACAAAATATTCCCACACAAACTCATACACAAAGCTGCATATGTCTAACCGGATCACACCACAGAGAACCAGATAGATCATATTTGTATAAAAAAATTCAGAAGAACAATGGAAGACGTAAGATCCAAAAGAGGAGTTGACATAGCTTCAGATTATCATCTGGCAGTTTCCAAAATGAGACCGAAGCTAAAGAAACATTAGAAAACTGGGCAGACAGCATTACAAAGGTTCAGTACAGCCTTTCTTCGTGTTACTAACAAACTCAAACAATTCAAGATAACTCTCAAAAACACGATCAAAGAAGCATAAACTTTAACGTATCACGGGGTGCTGAGACGCAAAAAGCATCATCATAAGGGATGAATCTCTATGGAAACCCTGAACAAATTTCAAGACAGGAAGAAAAAGAAGACAGCAATTAACAACAACCTAACAAGAACAGAGAACGTCAAGGCACAAGCTGAGCAAACAAGCCAGTGAAGAAGAGTATTAAAGACGACAGGCATAAGTAAACGGAAGATCTAACAACGACAGCGAAACAATTTACGAGAGAAGGAACTATGAAAAAACATTATGACACGACGACAAATCCGGCAAGGAAATATGGTAAACCAGAGAGAGTGTTCAAGGAAAAAGAATGCAAGGCAATCACTGAGATTCAAGAGTAAGGGGGGAAATGAGTAGAACACTTTGAGGAACTCTTAAATAGACCAGCTCTGTTGAATCTACCGGACATCGAAGCAGCACACACAGACCTTCCTATAGATATCACTCCACCAACCATCAAAGAAATCAGGATGGCCATCAGAAAAATCAAGAGCGGAAAAGCAGCAGGACCAGACAATATACCAGCCAAAGCACTAAGGTAAGACATAAAAGTAACTGCAAACATGATCCACACCCTATTCAAGAAGATTTGGGAGGATGAACAAGTGCCGACGAACTGGAACGAAGGACATCTCATCAATATTACCAAAGAAAGGAGATCTGAGCAAATGTGAGAACTATAGAGACACCAGGAAAAGTATTCAACTATGCTGTTGAATGAGACGAAAAACTCAGTAGATCCCCAACTTCGAGACCAACAAACCGGCTTCAGTAAGGATCGGTCGTGCACAGTCCAAATCACGACGCAATGGATCGTTGCTGAACATCATTTGAGTGGGACTCGTCACTATAAACCAACTTCAATGACTATGAGAAGGCGTTTGTCAGTGTGGGGAGAAGGACCTTATGGTAACTTCTTCAAAACTATGATGTACCTGAGAAGATCATCAACATTATACGGAATTTATACGACGGACTACAGTGTGAAGTTGTGCATGGAGGACAGATGCATTCCGCGTAAGAACCGGAGTAAGACAAAGCTGCTTACTCTCCCTCTTTCTCTTTCTTCTGGTGGTCGAATGGATTGTGAAGACCTCGACATTTAAGGCAAATCACGGAATACAATGAACAGCTCGTAATCAGTTAGAAGATTTGGACTCCGCGGATGACATGGCTTTTCTATCCCATACACACGAATAAATGCAGATGAAGACAACTTGTGTAGCAGCAGCCTCTGCATTAGTAGGCTTCAACATACACATAGTAAAAACAAGATCCCCAAATACAACCCGGAAAACACCAACCCAATCACATTTGACGGAGAAGCTCTGGAAAAGATGGTAACTTTCACGTACTTAGGCAGCACCATCGATGAACCAGAAGGATTTGATGCAGACATAAAGGCAAGGATTGGCAAAGCAAGGACAGCATTCATACAGCTAGAGAACATATGAAACTCAAATGAACTGTCTGCAAGCCAACATCAAAGTCAGAATCTCCAATACGAACGTCAAGACAGTTCTGCTGTATGGAGCTGAGATTTGGAGAACTAATACAACCATCATCAAAAACATACAAGAATTTATAAACAATTGTCTGCGTAAGATACTGGATGTCCGTTGGTTGGATACCATCTGCAACAACCTACTGTGGAAGAGAACCAGATTCCAGACAAAGAGGAAATTGGAAAAAGACGTTTGAAGTGGATAGGACACATATTGAGGAAATCACCAAACTGCATCACGAGGCAAGCTCCAATTTGGAATCCTGAAGGAAAATGGAAAGGAGGAAGGCCGAAGAATCAGGAACAAAAATTATAAGAATGAACAGCAACTAGAAAGGACTACCCAGGACAGGGTTGGATGGAGAGTGCTGTTGAGCGGCCTATGCTCCTCCATGAAGGGCAACAGGCGTAAATAAGTAAATAAATATAAATACATAACTTGTAGTCAAGGTAGCTTAAGGAATGATGTGTTTATTTTTAGTACTGAAGACTGAGACCTAGAGTTCTTCCCTATATATCACTTTCTACTCACTTATTATAATGAATGACAAGAATTTTGAAACGAGATTTTGTTCGTTCATCTTTCTTAGAATTGAGTTTACATCTAATAACTAATAAGTCAACTTAAATTACAAAGGTGACATATTTATTTTTAGTGAGGATGCTGGAAAAATCCAATGTACTGTACATGATATATATATATATATATATATATATATATATATCATAGATGTTTAGTCCAAAGCTTAATGTAGTTTCTTACTTTGGTAAACAATTACTATGGTATATTAAGGTGAATAATGAGTGGATATTCTTGAGTAAATATGTTACAAACTAAGTAAAATCTTTCGAAGTTTTTTCCACAATTAAATGTGTAAAACAGTTTTAGAACATCATTAGTATAGAATCTTGAAAAATTCATAAGAGATTGGAAAATTTAAGAATGTATAGAAACAGTAATAGTTGAATTCATGAGTCGATGAAAGGTAGATCACCTTGAAAAACCTGGAAGCACTGGAAAGCTGTTTCGTCCTAGTATAAGACTCCTCAGCAGTGGAGACGATTTGTAGCTCAGGTGGATGATTTTGGTGGAGTTTTGTTCTCTGAGCTGGATGGTTTGGTCATGGAGCTTTCATCGTTCTTCTGAACGACATCATCAGCACAAACTTCAGATAGAAGTGAAGTGTTTGAATTTCTCCATATGTGTCTCAAAGCTTGTTCTGTGCACCTCGACGTTGATTGGTTCTTATTGACCTTAAATTCCATATAACTATATATACGAATGTACAGCTTAAGTAAATGATTTCGTCGAAAAGAAAATTTTCTTCGCTGAATTCTCTTTTTCTTAAATTTATCATTGTTTACTTCTTTGTTTTGGTTGTGTCTCCCATTGGTTCGATTTTTGTTCCTATATTTATGCATGATTTTCCTGATTGGTTGATAAATTGGATTGATTTCAATATGTTTGTTGATTGCTGATTGACCTGAGTGGAGTTTCCTCTGTCTAAGATTTTCCAAATTTTTCCAATCGAATGAGTGTCCGCAGTTGTCCACGTGTATTGATATAAGTGAAGAGATATCATGGCGTTTGACTGCTAATTGATGTTCATGTAGGCGAAGGTGAAGGGGGCGTCCGCTTTGTCCGATGTAGTGTTTTTCGCAGTTGGTACAATTTATTTTGTAGATGATGTTTGATTTGTTTTCCTTTGTTATTTCATCTTTTGGTTTGCATAAGATTGATTGTAGTGATTTTGTCGGTTTGTGTGCCACACCTATTCCGAAGGTTTTCAGCAGTCTCGTCGCGGCGAGACGCTGTGACATCATTAACATCTATTTTTAATTGGTTTTTTTATTTATTATATTTCACCATGTTTTGTTTGTGTTAACAAAAAAGTTATAAACATGAACCAATTACGTTTCCATGTTATTTGTCATTTGTTTTTCTTTATTTTCACTAATGTATAATACGTACGATTGTTAGTTTTAAAATGTGTATCTTGAATATAAAACGAATTAAAACTTGGATTGTTATGAACTACTTATTAATAGTCTTTGAACTTATGTATATAATTGATACACACAAAATATATAAATCAATTTTCTTTATTTTTATTTTAAGGTAATTTTGTACTTCGTCCAACAAATCAAATTACTTATGCTGGATCTACAATACAACATGCATGTAGTGTTATGACTACACCAGTTTTTATTGAATGGTATTTAAATACTGTAAGTAATGTATTTTATTTTCCATTGTTTACCTTATTATTTTTGTATGTTATAAATAGAATATACATTTTTCAATTATTTATTATGTATTATTACTACACAAAAACTATTTAGTTAAGTCGAAAAACAAAACTTACTAGAAAAGGTATGGAGAAACTGAAAATGAACAATATAACGAAAAATTATCACAGATGTCATTTGATTAAGAATACTGATTATATATATATAGTATGTTCGATAAAGAGATACGTTGTATTCGTTATGGAAAATGAAATGATGAACTATAGCACAGCTATCATTGGATTCTGTTATATCCGAGTGAAGATTAAATTACGAGTAACTTCTGAGACATATTAATTGACTAATATTATCTATACATTCTTATGGTATAACTATTCAATAATTAGATTATATATATATTTATATTCCTCTTATTAAACGCTTGATTTTGACCTACATATTATTATTGTACGATTTACTGTTCTTAAGCTATGTTCAGTTTATTAACTACTGCCTCCCATATTCACAGTCACTTTTTGGCTTTATTGTGTACAAATGTTATTTCCTATTTTATGGTGCGTTGCGGTCTGTTTGGTTGATATATAAACCAAGTATGTCTGAAATAAATGATTCGATTCGATTCACACCGCATAGTGGAAGCTGGTATTGGTGTTCTGGACTCACGTGGACGGGCTAGGCGGACATAGGACCAATAAGGACTTTAGGCTGCTCATACAGGTCGAACGTCATTGGTTTGGCACAGTGCAAAGATTGTATAAGTCGTATTTTGATTGGTGGTTAAATCACTTGATAAAAAGCCGAACATAAAGTCACAACAGATTCTGTTCTAATCCACATCTAATATTGTCTTAATTGACTTTGTTGTATTATTTCCAGGACTTTATTTTGGTTAGCCTTGAACAATTAACTGATACCAAATCAATGGATCTATACTTTATTCCATAATACATCATAAACTGGCAAGATTTTCACATTCTTCATTCAGTTCTAGCATCGGGAAATAGTTCAATCAATTGTTTATTAGTAAAAGATGATTATACCACAGAAGCTAATATTTTAGTTTGTAATGCTTCGTAGTTTATTCTCTGTACATATCCTAAGCAAAAGATATTTTTACTAAATCAGAGCACCTTTTGAAAAGAATGATAACCAAAAACAGAGAGCCATTGATCTCATCCAGATCATGGATGTAATGTTTCATGAACACAGAAAAGAGTCAGTCATATTAAAGAGCTGTATACTTGGTCTTAATTGGTAATACTTACTTTACAAAACACTTAAGAATGATTCAGAATGATAGACATTTTCTGTCTTTGGTTTAATCTAAATTAATCATATTAACACCACTCACACACCAAAATACACGAATTTTCTAATTAGTTCAATGGGTCACTATTAAGAGTGAGTTCAGGTAGACTCTTATCAGTCTTATAGAAGTATTTTAAACTTTCAGGGTAAACAATATATAAAGTACTTGAAAAAATCACTTTCGTAAAACAAATAAATAGAATAAATCTTTATTGTAGATCTAATGTAAGCAATTTTATATTTCATCAGAAATATGATTTACAATAAATGATACAATATCATTTCAATTTCACCTAAATTATCTAAATTAGACAAACGTAGAAAAGCAACTTACTTACTTACGCCTGTTACTCCTCGTGAACGAACATAGGCTGCTCACCAGCATTCGCCATCCAACCCTGTCCTGAGCAGCCCTTTCCAGATCCTTCCAGTTGTTATTCATCCTTTTCATATCTCCTTCTATTCCCCGACGTAATGTGCTCTTTGGCCTTCCTCTTTTCCGCTTCCCTTCGGGATTACAATTTAGGGCTTGCCTCGTGATGTAGTTTGACGATTTGCGTAATGTATATCCTATCCATTTCCATCGTCTTTTCCTAATTTCTTCTTCAGCTGGAAGTTGGTTTGTTCTCTCCCACAGAAGGCTGTTGCTGATGGTATCCGGCCAATGAATGTTGAGTATCTTGCGTAGACAGGTATTTATAAATACTTGTACCTTCTTGATGGTGGTTGTTGTAGTTCTCCAAGTTTCAGCTCAGTACTGTAGAACTGACTGTCTTGATGTTCGTATTGAAGATTCTCACTTTGATATTGGTTGAAAGTTGTTTTGAGTTCCATATGTTCTTCAATTGTAGGAATGCTGTCCTTGCTTTGCCAATCCTCGTCTTTACGTCTGCATCTGAACCTCCTTGTTCATCGATTATGTTTCCCAGGTATATAAAGGATTCTGCATCTTCCAGAGTTTCGCCATCAAGAGTGATTGGGTTGCTGCTCTCCGTGTTGAATTTGAGGACTTTGGTTTTCCTATTGTGTATACTGAGGCCTACTGATGCAGAGACTGCTGCTACATTGGCTGTCTTTATCTGCATCTGTTTGTGTGTACGCGATAGGAGGACTAGGTAATCTGCGAAGTCCAAATCGTCTAATTGATTCTGAGCTGTCCATTGTATTCCGTGTTTTCCTTCAGATGTCGAGGTCTTCATAATCCAGTCGACCACCAGAAGAAAGAAGAAGGGAGAGAATAGACAGCTTTGTCTGACTCCGGTCCTTACTTTGAATGCATTTGTCAACTGTCCTCCATGCACGACCTTGCACTGTAGTCCGTTGTATGAGTTCCGGATGATGTTGACAATCTCCTCAGGAACTCCGTAGTGTCGAAGAACTTTACATAACATCCTCCTATCTACACTGTCAAATGCCTTCTCATAGTCAATGAAGTTGATTTATAGTGACGAGTTCCCCTCAACTGATTGTTCGACGATGATCCGTAGTGTCTCAATTCGGTCTGTGCACAACCAGAAAAGCAACTGTTTATGGATTATTATTTTTAAAAATTACGGGAATTATATCAACTGATTATATTTGAGTGATAGATATCTGCTTTATAATCTTTTTTGGTTCACTGATTATCTATTTATTCTAACTAACTGTCTTGTACATGCTGTAATGAACTATGCCCAAGAGTTGATACTAATACGCAGTCTTCTTATACATAAGCTCAACCGATTACTCAAATGAAAATATCGAGAGCGAAGAAGGAAGTTTATGGACTAAACAGAATCGACATATATGTATACATATCCCTTAGAAAATTAAACAAACAATGATGTATATCATTAAGGAATGAAAGCAATTTCCTGAGTAACTACATCTATTCATCATTCAGAAAATTTCTGATTAACCTATTGTATCAACTTTCCCACTTGAAAAGTAGGCGTGGCTTCTAGGGTTCAGTTGATTTTTTTGGGATGATGGCACATCAGTACAACCATTCAACTATGCACTGATGATTTTCGATCCGAATTTTTTTTAATTTTTCAGATTTAAATTAATTGATATTGACCTAGTAGTTTTCTAATCCTTTAGAATAGTCAGTATTCATCACTGGCACGTAACGAAAACTTGATCTGAACTTGAATTACACTGTTACAAGCCACGTAAATTTAAAAAAAACGCTTGAGCTTTCTGCGTTTATACAATGAGCCGGTTCAATTAAGTATGGACCAATGATGAATGAAGGATCCTGACAACATCAAGTTATTGATCGAGGTTTGGCTTCACCTTCTAAAGAAATAAAAAATGTCCATTGGTTGAAAATCTGGCCTCACTTTTTGAGTGATAAGCATCTACATTTATGATTGAATTTTGCATATAACCTTTATTTTCCTCTTTCTGTTAGTTTTCCCATTCAAGTAGTTAGTTTGGACGCGTACCGTTTATCCAGTTTGACCAGTAGTCAAGATATTTCTCATGGTCCACATAACACAATAATATCAGCTAAACAAACAGTGAAAATCAAAAAGCATTGGACACCCATTTTATCCGAGTATAAAACATCTCATGAATATGCTCCTTTTCCACAGTGTCTTAGAGATCCCCCAACCTTTAGATCACTAAACAGGTATCCTATGATTTACATTTCTAACTAATGTGTAGTATGACAGAACTTACTAATCACGTGTAAGTTCATTTACTTGACTTTTAGAACTACATCTGATCTGAAGACTACTAATACTATTCGTCTACCTACGCCAAACTAAATATTGTATAATTCAAACATTATTACTATTATCACCATTATTACAAACATATTTTGTTATAAAGTATATAAATAGGAATATCTGTTTTGTTTTATTAGAATAAAATTGGAAGTTGCCTATTTCAAACCAATACAACTACAAATACTTTTGGTGATCCTAAATTTCAAATTATTATAGGACAGTATACAGAGAAATTATTGCCAATATGTCAGCTTATCGTCACGAATATTGATTTTGTCGATACTGGTGAATACAAATGTAAAACTATTCATCATGATTCTGAAAGTGATACAGCTTCAGCTTATATTCTTGTTTCATGTAAGTCAGTTTTTATTTTATTTTCATAATAAATGAATGGAATACTGCAAATTTTATTATTTACAAGACTTATGAATCACAGTCCAAGTGTAAATAAATCAATGTAGCTGTTATATCCTAGTGAAGATTAAATTACGACTAACTTCCAAGAGTGTTATAATCTCTTTCTTACAGTTATGACCCAGCTATTCCTATTGCATAGTATTCTTGGACACCGATTCACTTGACGAGTGCCTAAATCAGAACACGGTGGAACAGGAAAGATATTATATTCCAAATAACAAGGTTAGATGGAGGCAAGAAGCACAATAGGGAAAACGTTAGTATATTCATAGTTTTTACATGAGAAGATTCTAGAGTATACTCCAACTATCGACTAGTGCTGATTGGATAAGAATTAGCCAATCAGCGTGCATTAAAGCAATTGTGCATTGAGCATGTTTTAATCCAGTCTATGTCCCGCTAACAATGAGCTATGAATGAACTAATATTATATATATATATATATATATATATATATATATATATATATATATATATATATATATATATATATATATATATATATATATATATATATATATATTTCTATCGTATAACTATTCAGTAACTAGATTATGTATATTTATATCCCTTTTATCATAAGATTCATTTTGACCCATAGATTATTATGATACGATTAATTGTTCTTAAGTCATACTCAGTTTATGGATTCCAGTCTCCCACGTTCATAGCCACTTTTCAGCCTGATCTTGTAAAAATGTTATTTCCTATTTTATGATGCGATGAGGTCTATTTGTCGAATAATATTACATGATAACTAGCCGGACTTACATTCACAGCAATAACATTCTAATATAAAAAAAGTTTATTATTACCTTTCACAATTTATGAAAATATAGAAATTACTTACTTACTTACATACACCTGTTACTCCTCGTGAAGCTAAGTCCGTCGATCAAGATTCTTCAACCTATTCTGATCTGAATTCTCTTTTTCAGTCGTTTTCAAGTTCTATTCACTCTTTTAATGTCTGCCTATTCTCAGTTTTTCCTTGAGGATTCCAAGTTAAGGCTTGCTTTGTGATATAGTTTTATAATTTTCACAATATGTGCCTTATATACCACCAGTTTTTACTATTTAATCTTGTGTGCAGTCATATACATTATAAATCAATTTAGAATGATATAACTTCATGAACTGATATCATGTTCTGACTTTCGAGCTGTTAGATATTTATAAGTAGTGTGTATGAAACACTGGACTTAAGTTTATATTACTTTGTACTCATCAGTAAAGTATACCTTTAATCTTGAGAGGAATGTTGTTTTTTGTGCATTCAAATTCACATAATCCAGTTTCACACTATGAAACGTTACCATTTAGCTCTTCCCCAGAGACTAGAATATTTAGACTGATTAATCATTGAATGGTGGCAAATGTTGTGCTTGTCTAGTTCTTTTATGCTGACAGTATTCTATAGGTCACTAAGCAATGTGAGTATTAGTCTAATTGATTTGATATCCCATGAAAAATGTTTTGATATTGAGGAATTGGAGGTAGTCATCTACATAAAAATAGGTTGTTTAAATGGTGAGTCAATATAAAACTTTACTGTTTGGTGCATGATGACCATGATTTTTTAAATGCTTTTTGTTCGTTATGCCATTTCTAGTTGGTCTAACGGTTCCTTTATCAAATTATTTTATCTGCTAGTATTAAAAACTACACTACAAATATTTCAGTGGTAATATACATAATTATTATCACCTCATTGATTATTCCATATAAATGCGAGACGTTGTGAATTTTACAAATGAGACTATGAAGACAATCTTTTCCTTTACTGAAATATGTGTTTATAAAAAACAAACTATTTTGTGTTATATTGAGAAGTTGTGATCAATATAGTGTGGGCTGTGTCGGGTTTGTGACAGTTATCCACGAGACGCAGTGGATGAAGCGTTGTGCAAGATCGTGAGTTGACTCATACTAGATATTAACACCAATGGATGCTGTTTCTATGGTCTAGAGGTTAGGTGTTCGAGCCTGATACCAAAAATTCTGGGTTCGATTCCCACGTGTGGAATCGTGAATAGACACTACTGAAAAATCCCATGCTAGGATGGGACAGACGTCCAGTACTTTCAGGTTTCCGGAGGTGGTTTGGCTAAAATCACTTCGTGAGTTCATCAGTGAAAATTATATAGTTGTTTAGGTCCTCATGGGGATTATGAATTTTCGTTTATACCAACCATTATTAGACACATTTGTGAAACATACATGAATTGATTAAACATAATATGGGTCTGTTCAAAAACATTCGTGTATATTTGTTGAGGTAAACTGTACGATCTTAGTGAATTTCACCAAACTGGAATTCTATCTATCGAGTGAATATTATTATTTGTGTAGTACTTCGAAGAACTATCGTGATGCATTTTCATTCAGGGAGATTGATGGAAATCAACTTAATTTGTAAGCGTCATTCCTCACAGAATGATATCAGTCTAAATACTAAGAAAAACCAGGAATCAGTGAACAGACATTCCATGATAGTGTGGGAGTGCCCGGTAGTACGAACTCAACACCCCTACATCTTAAGCTGATTGGAGTTGGAACTGCATAACTGGACAGAGGCTCAGTTGTTACTGTGACTCATAATTTGCCATTGCACCTGAAGCTTCTATGTTTGAACCCGTCTTGAGTCGTGTACACACATAATTGGTAAGTTCTATATACGGATGAATAAAGCTGTCCAGTAATCACTGGTTTTCAATAGTACCTTAAAATGACATTGATCTGTGATTTGTTCTACCTATAATAGTATATCCTCACATTTTTAACTGATTAAAAAATTAAAGGAGTGTAATAATTTTGTCAAATAACGAATCAGTCTTTGTCTACTTGAGTACATACCTCAATATTAGCGAAAATTTTACAACGAGTGAAAAAACAAAGTTGCTTTTGTTCAGGTTTTGTTATTTGATGCCTATCAGTGTATCAAAGTAGCTAATTAACCAATGTTTGTTTTCGCAAACCATTAAGTTTGAACATCTGTAAATTAACGTGTTTAATTTATGCAATTCTGAAATCAATAGTTTTAATAGCTCACTTCTATATTAAGTTTGTATCATTGTTTTTGTTGTTGTTGCTTGGAAAGACAATGAAAACTTCTTGAATAAACAACTTCAATCAAAGATTCTCAATTCACTAAATTCATCCTCTTGAGTTACAAATCACCACTATCGCAAAATACACCTTCTGTCATGAACTATTATCAACTAAAGAATAACTGATAATCTAGGAGCTTTGAATATGTGTATTATTCTAGTTTAAAATCTAATACTCAGCAGTGAGTATACACAATTATAGGTGGAATGAAGTCCGAAGTCTTTCAGTTTTCTCTGAGAGAACATGACACCTTTGAGCCACTAGCCGTAACCCAGAGGTCCTCATTCTCATCTCCAGTTTTCATTGATTCTTCAGCTGATATCAGTTTCTGATGAAAATTGTATTCTAATCAAAATTTAGTTTATCAAGCTCAACAGTAACTCACTTAGGAATTTTTGTTTTACATTCTAACAATACTCATATATTTGAAGTTCAGTCAAGATGTTCAACAAAAGTGGTAACTTATACATTAACAAACTATCATTTATTCTCTGTTTAAATTTAGATTGATCTTAAAAATCTTAGTCTTACCGTTTGTTTCCTCATTGATTCTGAATATTGCATGTTGTAAATAAAATCGATCTATATAAACAATTAATAAATAATATTTCCACATTTTACTCAAACTGATCTAAACGTACTAAAAACAAACATGTACTAAGCATAATTCTACTTTATTTATGAACTTTGTATTCATTTATTACAAATTGGATCCATTCGAGAATTCTTGTATGCATTCATAGTTTGTAGAATTATGTATGTTAATGTCAGTCATTAATGTTTAATGTATATATCTTATTTCTAATATATTTTTAACTATTTAATCAGATCCTATACGAAAACTTGAATTACACATAGACAATGAAACTTCTCTATCAGTTGGTCAACGTACTTATATTGAATGTCAAGCACGTGCTGGAAAACCTGCACCACAAATTCGTTTGAATTTAGGTGGACTGCCTATATCTGAAGCACGAGTTGTACAAAAAGTAGATGTTGAAGGTTAGCCAATAACAATAATGATATCAATATTAACAATGCATCTCCCTATATTATTTAAAATTAACATGTATTGATACGCTTGAATAAAAAGGTAAACTTTACTCAAACTTGTAATTAAAAGGCTTTATCGTGGTCATCTGCTATGGATGTACTGTGGTGTCGGTTATTATGTTAAGTCCATATACCTTATTCTAGCTTCCGGACAGCCCATTCTATTCATTCTACTTGAGTCACGTTCTGACCTTGTTATTTATTCGCTTATCGATCTTGACTTTTTTTGTGTACATTTCTTATCCCATTACTAATCACATGTCTGTAACTTTTGTGTAACTATAAATATTGATTAACGGTTGGTTAAATGGGAGTTGGTTTACCAGCCATCTCTACTGCGTGTCGTTTCTCTTCTATTACATTCACTTCATATACAAAATATATGTATTCGAAAGTCTATTCTCGTTATTTGACTTATCTAAATCCGTTATTGACTAACGCGTTTAAAGTCGATGATTATATATGAGGATAGGCAACACATATATTTCAACAACAATCATCATTACAATCTCAGATCTCGGGCCACTAAAGTGGAGAGCCCTTTCGACAACATCGTTCAATCTAAATGAAGATCTAATAACGGGCCTCCACTAAAGTACATATGCTAACAGAACCTGATTAAATGAAGTCCATGATGTTAGCAATACGATATTACTAACTCATACCCGTTGAAAAAGTTAATTGCTACCTCAACTCAGAAGCTCAATGAATAAAGTATTGGCATTTATAACAAAAAGTACCCTGTTCAAGTCCTGGTATGAACATGAACATTCGAATTTATAAACATTCACCTAATAAATCCCAAATAAAATGAATAGCACGTCTCGGATTAAACTTTACAAAGAGTTGTAAAGTTTATTTCGATGAATTTTTATGCTTGTTTTATCATCAGTCAACTGCTGAGAATGACATTATTCGACACCTGAAAAACTCAAATATTTACAGTCAATAATAAATGGGAAGATGTAAATTTTATTTCTTAGAGGAATTTATCAATCTCACTTTTTATCGTCATTTCTATAAAATTTGTTTTTGATGCAAGTACATTCATGTGACGAGTCCTAAATGGGACGAAACGCGTGTCCTAGATTCCACTGCTAGCTACCATATAGCTTTGCTTATAGTTTTGAATGTTCATCTTATTGATTACTGTAATACCATCCAAATCGAGGGATAAAATTACTATAATCGCCAAAATAACTGAATTGATCATTTAATTATAGAATCTGACAAATGAAATCCCTAAGAGAATAATTTTCACATACCGAAATCCTTATACGTAAATATCCGTTATGAAATTATATCTGTCATTTATATATACAAAAATAATCTATGAAAATTTTATAACTTTTCATAAAATAAATAACCAGGGATGAAAATAAAGGTTATGAATTAATCAGTTATACTTTGCTTCCCTTCTTCGTAAAAGTTGGATACTTTGAGACAGAATAGATTTCAATAAGTAGTTAGTGTATATATCCATGATCTTTTTGTAGGTTTATTCACAATGAAAAAGATTTGAATATATACTACTTATGAGAAATAAGGAATTGAATTGTAAATTGACTATATAAATAAATAAAAACACATAAATACAATAACATTAAAAATCTAGTCTACTTTAAACTGAAAATCTCTAAAAAATGAAATAATTCATTTTAACTCTACAAATCTTATTGTTCTAAATCGATTCAAACTAATCAAGAGTTAGAATAATGAAATTTTCTAAATGTTTTGATTTATCTGATGTGTGAGCGAGAATGATAATAATTGATTGTTTGCTTAGTCAGAGATGTAAGTAGTCTGATAGGTGTCAGATGAGTTATATATATTCCCCTATCCTTATTATTACTTACGTATTATTGATTGTTCATTGTTGTTGGATTGTGTCGGGTTTTGGATGCCAGCTCAGTGGTTGTTATAACTCAAAGGGCCGCCGATTAGAGGGCAGTAACTTATCGATCGGATCAAGAGATTCAGAATCTCGATAGACTATTCTGATCCGTTGTCCCCAGCTCAGCTAACGCGATCAAGAAGTCTTGGTAAGACGTAGAAGTGTATTCTATAGGCAACCAGCAGATAACAGGTCAGGTCAGGTCAGGTCAATCAGGCACACAAGTCAAGCGTATTTATACAAATATTTATAATCGATATTGTCATGGCAAAATGTTTTTTAAACATTAATCAATAAGTTCATCAAACGACAGCCATTCAAATATTTAATCGATAAGTTCGTCAACTGACTTCTATTTAATCATTTAATCGATAAGTTCATCAATTGACTGCCATTCAAATATTTAAACATTTAATCGATAAGTTAATCGATAAAATGAAATTACAAAATATGAGTTTTGGGGATCTATAGTCCCCAACAGTGGTCTAGTTGGTTAAGCGCTTGGCGCGAGACTAATGGGTCCTGGGCTCGAATCTTGTGGGGTGTGGGATCGTGGATGTACACTGCTGAGGAGTCCCGTACTAGGACGAAACGGCCGTCCAGTGCTTCCAGGTTTTCCATGGTGGTCTAGCTTCAACTGACTCATTATTTCAATCAGTGAGATTTCTAAAATCTCCAAAAAACCCCTTCTGATTATATATATTCCCCTATCCTTATTATTATTACTTACTCACTTATTATTGATTGTTCATTGTTGTTGGATTGTGTCGGGTCTTTGGTGTGGAAATATATTTACGTTGTGGTCAGGCTAATCACATGTTCTTGATCTGAGTTGTGTTGAAGTCCTGTAGAATAGACACTGGGAGCGAATCTAGTGTAGATATTCGTCTGAGATAAATTAACGTCCCATTAGTGTAAACGTGGAAATCCAACCGTTATGACATTAGACGAAGTAAAACTGAGCGTTATAACATTATCAGTACCAATCAGCTATATATCTATATTCCAGTTACTATGCTGTCAGAATACTAATATAATAATCGAAGTCCAACTAATACAATCATTATATAATTTGTTTAATGACATGAAATAACTAAGTGAATAAAAAGTTCCCAATAATTGAAGTTTTCAAATATATAAAACATCCCAATTGTTTCGAATGGCATAATGTATTAGTAAAAATCATATCTAGAAGATACAATAAAAAAATAATGTGCATGATAGACCTTAGAATTATTTAATCATTAATTAGATATATGCAATACAATTTCTATAAGTAGACAAAACATAAAACAGTCATTTATAATTTTCTTTTGTTTATTCATATAAATTGAATTAATTGAAATAAACTTATTGAAGTTATTTTGATATAAACGTTTATGTTTTCAATAAAATATCTTTGTAAAACAATTGTCAATTTCATAAGGAAAAATGGATAGTGGCTAGTATTGGAAACCAGGACGCATGTCTCGTCCTATCAGGACTCAGTAGATAAGTGAAGAACGTGATGGCATTTCAAGCGAACCGTATTGGGTTCGAGCCCTAGAGTGAACATCAACTGTGAGATGCAGTTACGTCCAGTTGACGAGTCCTAAATAAGACGAAACACGTGTCCAAGATTCTACTGCTAGCCACTATCCATATTTGCTTAAAATGCTTGTGAATTAAGGCTATATCGAGGCAATAGGCACAGTATGCACATATGCCAATAAGAGACTGATCAATTTCTGTCCTGAAAATCAATGTTAATACTCAAATAAAACAATACCAAATGAATTTAAATAACTGATTTCATTTGTTACTGGTGAAATGCAATAGCTCATCATGTCGAACACAAAAATATCACATAAACTAGACCCACCGTACGGTACTGCTCGGGAGTTATTATTACTGTTCGTAAACCAATAAACTCCGCCTGTAGCTCTTCCAGAGTTACTGCCGGTCCCAAGCCCGGGTAAAGGAGGAGGGTTGGGCATGGGGTTAGCGTCCCCATCCTGTAGAAAACTAACTCACTAAAAGAAACACTTACCAGAAAAAATAATTCAAACCATTTAAACTCTGCTCTGAAAGTTAGAAGGTCTTCATTTAGAAGAATTATGACGCTCCATTGTGAAAGCCGAGTTCCTTCGGAAGCCACGAGGCCGATGCCCCTTCTAACAACCAGAGCAAAAACTTTTATAGGTACATGGAACGTCCGAACAATGTGGGAGACCGGGAAGACCATTCAAATAGCAACGGAAATGAGGAGATACAACTTGGCAGTGCCGGGAATCAGCGAAACCAATTAGACCCATTCTAGACAGCAAAGGCTAGATGCGAGAGAGATGCTGGTATACTCTGATCACGAAGAGGAAAATGCCCCACACACTCAGGGAGTTGCTTTAATGCTGTCCAAAGTAGCACGAAATGCACTTGTAGGATGGGAATCTCACGGATCCAGAATAATAAAGCATCATTCAAAACAAAGAAGTAGGGGATCAAAATGAATATTATCTAATGTTATGCACCCACCAATGATAGCAACGACGACATTAAATATCAATTCTACGAGTGGCTGCAGTCAATCATAGAGAAGTGCCCAAGAAAGGACCTCACCATTCTGATGGGAGATCTAAATGCCAAAGTTGGAATAGACAATATCGGATATGAAGATATTATGGAATGAAATGGACTGGGTGAGAGAAACGAAAATGGAGAAAGATTTGCAAATCTGTGTGCATTAAACAAATTGGTCATAGGAGGCACAATATTTCCACATAAACGTATACACAAAGCTACATGGATCTCACCGGACCAAACTACAGAGAACCAGATAGATCATATTTGCATCAATAAAAAATCCTGAAGGACAATGGAAGGTGTGAGAACCAGGAGAGGTGCTGACGTAGCTTCAGATCACCACCTAGTTGTGGCCAATTTAAAACTGAAGCTAAAGAAGTACTGGACAAGTGGACAAACAGCAATACAAAGGTTCAATACAGCCTTCCCACGAGATACTAACAAAATCAGTGAATTCAAGATAGCTCTCAACAACAGGTTCCAAGCCTTACAGGATTTACTGAAGGAAGAAGAAACTACTATGGAGGACAACTGGGAATGTATCAAACAAGCATTATCTTCAACGTGTCAAGAGGTTCTGGGTCTAAAGAAGCACCATCATAAGGAATGGGTCTCTACAGAAACACTGGACAAGGTCAAAGAAAGGAAAAACAAGAAGACAGCAATTAACAACAGCCGAACACGAGCAGAGAAAGTCCAAACACAAGCTAAGTACATAGAAGCAAACAAGCAAGCGAAGAAGTACGTGGAAGGACTAGAAACGACAGCGGAAAAAGCTGCAAGGGAAGGAAATAAGAAACAGCTTCACGATACAACGAAGAAACTAGCAGGGAAATACAGTAAACCAGAGAGACCGGTCAAAGACAAAGAAGGCAAGCCAATCACTGAACTGCAACAACAGCGGAACAGATGGGTAGAATACTTCGAGGAACTTCTGAATAGGCCGGCTCCA